ACTGCTACACCAGGAGAATACTTCAGGCTCTCCTGACACCTCCAGAAAACATGGGATATCAACCCAGTGCATGCTTTCCAGCAGGGTCCAAGAGAACAGAAGCAATAATGTGGCATGGGAGGATTTGCACCTCTGCCCACATCACTGCTGGAGCCAGGCCACTGCTGGAATCCCAGTCTGTAGGGACAGAATGCTGGCCTTCCTGGAGCCTGGTATAACCTGCCTGGCAAGAGGATGTGCTACTTGGGGGTCACATGTGACCTGATGCACCCTGTCAGTGGGTACAGGGAATAAATAGCTCCTGCCAGGAGAGCAAAGCCTTCCCAAGCCAAATATTTCCTGGAGCCGGAGAGCCATTGACTTTGGGTGTGTGTGACCAACCCAAGGCAGAGGGCTCGGCTCACCTGATGACTTAATGAGGGGTTCGTGTCCATCCGCTCAAGTCTCCTGCTTTTCCTTGTGCTAACTCCACATCTCTATTTCATAAAACACCAATTTATTGGTTATTACCCTCATGTAAATTACGTACATCAGTTAAGCATAATTCACCTCTCTTTCCGATCCTATTAACTGATAAAAGCATTAGCAAATTGTCACACATTTAAGTGACTGTGTAATAGGTATTGGTTTTAATTGTCAGTACTTAAGTGGCCATTATTCCAAAGAGTTTTGCACCTCACTCAGAGACAGGGATGCCACAGAACTCAGAGACCAATTTATGACCTGCTGCCACTAGGGATGGCACTCTGGACGTTAGCATCAGCCTCAAGACAGTTTCTTTGGTAATAAAACATACATAACATAAAATTTACCTCAAAAGCCACTTGAAGTGTACAATTCAGTGGCGTTATTGTGAAACCATCACTGCGATCTATCTCCAGAACTTTTCAACTTCTCCTACTGAAATGCTGTACCCCATTAAGCAGTAAGTTCCCATCAATCCAGTAACCACACTCCATTTTTAATTCTGACTGACTACTCTAGCTATAATTCCTATAAATGGAATTATATATTTGTCCTTTTATGAATGACTTCACCCAGCACAGCATCCTCAGAATTTTTGAAGCTGAATAATATTCCTTCATCTATCTCTATGATATTTTGTTTATTTACATACCCATGGACACTTAAGTTGTTTCCACTGGGTTTTTTTCTTTTTGGCAATACTGAGGTTTGAACTCAGGGCCTCGTGCTTGCTAAGGCGCTCTACCATTTGAGCCACCCCACCAGTTCTTGTTTCTACTTTTTAACTATTATAAATAATGCTATTACTGATCACAAGAGTTTGAGTTTTGTTTCATATTGCAACCTTTATGTTTTCCTTTCTTTCTATGAACATCTAATTTATGCTCCTTAGTGATTGACATTAGACTCCATTGTAGCCCCTCCATAAGTTCTGTTAAACTACTCAAGTTACACGAGATCTGACACCAATGTGAAAGATAAAACTCCAAAATGAAATGAGCTTTCCTTTACATAGAAGGGCTAACCTATTTGGGAGGCCTTGAGAATCCAGTTTTGACCCCCTCCCATTTAAAAAAATCATTGATGCACTCATACAAATATCTTTTTGATTTCCATGGAAACCCCTGAAGCTCAACCTTGGACCATATATGTACTCATTACTTTCCCAAAAACTGAAAATCAAAAATTTTCATATCAGATATGGTTAAATGCTCGAGTATATGATCCAAGTACCAATTTGGCAGTGCTCTAACTATAAACTGAACATCTGGTTTGAGAACTTTTCTAAAGCAGACATGATGGCAGGAAGTGATGCTATGCATTCACAGTATCTCCTAAGAACCTGGGAAGTCAGGAGCGGAGCACACGGTGCTCATTCTGCACAAAGCAAATCAGGCACAATGCACATGCTGTAGAGGGAGGCAGACACTCTCCCTTCCCCACCAGGGTCTCACCCTCTGCCTGCTTCTTGCTCTGACCACTGGCAGCTTTAGCCATAAGCTCCGCCCTGACCACACACAGCTGTCTCCCACCTTCTCAGTCAGCAAATCAGTCAGCCAGCCAGCAGATCCTGTTTCCGATTGACCTTCATGTCATGTGTGTTATGTGTTCCAGTAAGGTTTTATGGGTAGATAGATGCAGAGTCCCCATCTCAGGGCAATTCCAGGCACACAGGCCAGGAGCCACTGTCAACCAGCTCTGTCTGCAAGAGCACGGGGACCAAACAGTGTCATCCACTGAGGATGAGGAGTGTGGCTACAAATTTGCTTTGTCCGAGCAGGAGATACTAGGTCAGAATGGATGTAACCTAGTGCTGGTGCTGACCCTCAGCCAAGACACCCATGTGACTCAGTGGTGGAAGGCTGAGCGCTGACATCTAGGCATCCTTATGGAAGGCAATTTGCTTGCACTGAGAGGTGATAAAAGGAGAGGAGATCAGGACTGTGCGACATCTGAGGGCTGGTCCCCCACGAGGGCTGTTCCAGAACAAAACCTGGGGCCTCTTCAGCACAGGAACACCTGGACACTCTTCCCAGGTGTCCCTCACAGTGGAGGAGAAGGACAATCTCCCTTTTCCCTTGGTCAGGGATCACAAGAGGGGCCAGAGCCATGATGCACCTTTGGATGTACCTTTGCCACAGGACGGAGCCATCTCCTGGAGCCTGGGTCAACACTGATGGGAGGTGTTTTTTCCAGAAACTGTGGGAAATGACCCGGAATCAAGTGATTAAAAATTAAAACATTACGAGGCAGGGAGCCCCATTCCAGACCTATTATAATCATCTCAGGAATGTGACCTGGGCATCAGTCATTTTAAAGTCCCCAGTTGATTCTAATGTACAGGCTGGACCCACTGATGGTTTCTTCCTCTTCCTCCTCATGGAACTTCCCCCACCTTTGGGAACACGTTCTTATGTATAAGACAAGTCTCTCCCATACTGAGTCTACTCTAAGAAGTACATTACAGGACACTGATAAGGATGACAGTGACATTCAGTGTTAGGCAGGTGACAGGTATAACAACCTGCCATAGTTGTCAACTATGTGTGTGCTTACTCAATTAAAATATTTCATGTAGTTGTCATTTTAATGGATGTTATGGGTGCTACACATGGTGCGTTTAATTGCTATTTTTCAATATCCTCAAAAATGTTACCCTGGGAGTCAGTCTTGAAATAAAAAAATATATGTAACAAACATGGGCACAGAGCAGGAAGCATAAGTTTAATGTTAGTGAGACAAGTGGTTCTCACTACCATTTTATGGGTTTTTTGCAAAACAGCAGCCAAATTCTTTACAGAACTTAGAGGAAGACACCACAAAGCAATAATGAGAATGAACTGTCATCCCACAGCTAGAAATGTGACCCAAAGGCAAATCCTAGATGCTTCTGCTAAGAGGAAAATTCCATGGACCAATTAAGTTTACTAGAGTTTATTTCAGCAAAGCAAAACAGTTCATAAGCTGGGCAGCTCCTAGAACTAGAGTTCTGAAAACTCCAAACTCACAATGTGATCACACAGCACTTACAGGAGAGCAAAAGTGAGTCACAGAACAGAACTAGCTACAGCCTAGTCAATCAACAGTCAATTGGTTATAGCCTTTCTGGTGAGTTTGTTTCTGAGATCAGCCAAAGCACAGTTACAGTGATTAAACTCTTGGCTGGTTCTGTTGGACGCAACTCAGGTGCCCTGTCCAAGAAAGTCTACTGTCTCCCACAACTTCTGGCAATCTCCCCTCCCTTGCTTTTGGTCATGCTCCACTGAATGGGAGTTTGACCCAACTTAGGCCCTCAGTACCACTCTCATCACCCTGAGTTTCTAGTCTTTGTGTGTCATCCATAGGTGATGGTATCCTCACGATCACACATGAGTTCATTCCTTGTGTTCTTGTTATTCCAGCAAAGACACAACTTGGCATTTAGCAGATGGCTACACACAGGCATTTAAGACTTGAGAACACAGTTCACCAGGAGATTCAGGACTACCAAGACGATAATACCAAGTGTTTGGAACACGCTCCCTGGTCAGTGACCTCATAAACCAAACCACTGAAAAATCAGATGATTGAAGAGCAAGTCTGGAGAGGAGTCTGTCCATTTTAACCAAATAGTCTGCTTGTTGTTTTTCCTGTACCTGTCTGTGACTCTGTAATACCCAATGTATTCATCCAGTTGCAACAAAAGTATTAGTACCTGCAGATTCCTCTGTGTTCAGATATTAAATCATCTATCTAATAGCCTGCAAATGGGCTAAATTAAAACAGCCAATGAGAACAAGTGTCTAGAAGTCTAATAACTGTCAAGTGAAAAAGGTGAGCCCAAGGAAAAAGTAAGATGGCTAAGTACCTCATCCTTCTCAGAGAGTCTTGTTCTGATGTCTTGGTAAAAACTGTCCCCATCTTAAGATACATCTGCTTCTGGGGAAGCTTTTCTCTAATCAGCTTCACCTAAAGTCTCCAACAGGTGTGGGACACACAGGTGAGAACTTTCCGTAGTCCCTTCCAACAAGGTTCAAGAGAAGTCTCTCTAAATAGTCACTGTACTGATATTTTTCCTGATTTGTGTTGTGTTTTCTACCTCATGATGAATGATGGAACACAGAAATTAGAGAACATACAGAAAAGAAAGAAAGATATTCTGTGTTCATGGATTCATTAATACTGTTAAGATGCTCAAAGCAATCAACAGATTCAGTGTCATCCCCATCAATATAGCAATGATCTCATACACAAAAATTAAAAAGTGTGGTTCCATTCCTATAACCAAATAGCATAGAGATTCAGAATGACTGAAGAAACCCTGAGCAAAGGAAAAAAAAAAAAAAAACCCAAAAAATCCAACAAAACCCAAAACCTCCCTCCACAGGCCTTTGCAGGCTCTCCTACCTCTGGCCCCGCGCTCTGGGAGGCTCCGTGGTCCGCGGCCACAAAGCCCCTTTGATCCTCTGCTGGGCTCTGAGCCATGTGACCCGGTAGGCAGGCAGCGGCTCTCCGGCGTCCCGTACAGCCTGACTTTCAGCTGCTGGACCACCGAGGCAGCTCCCACCTGTGTTGGCGACATGGCTGACACCCCCAGAGACGCCATGCTCAAGCAGACACCTACACCTTAAGAGGAGTTCGGCTACACGGGGATCGACTCCATCCTGGAGCAAATGCGCAGGAAGGCCACGAAGCAGGGCTTTGAGTTCAACGTCATGGTGGTTGGGCAGAGCTGCTTAGGAAAGCCCACCTTAATCAACAGCCTCTTCAAGTCCAAAAATCAGCCGGAAGTCAGTGCAGCCCACGTCAGAGGAGCGCATCCCCAAAACCCTTGAAATCAAGTCCATCACCCACGATATCGAGGAGAAGGGGTGCGGATGAAGCTGACTGTGATCGTCACACCTGGGTTTGGGGACTACATCAACGATAAGAACTGCTGGCAGCCCATGATGAAGTTCATCAACGCCCAGTACGAGAAGTACCTTCAGGAGGAGGTCAACATCAACTGGAAGAGGCGCATCCCGACCACTCGCGTCCACTGTTGCCTCTACTTCATCCCTGCCACCGGCCACTCACTCAGGCCCCTAGACACTGAGTTCATGAAGCGTCTGAGCAAGATGGTCAACATTGTCCTCGTCATCGCCAAGGCTGGTATGCTGACCCTGGAGAAGAGGGTCTACTCCAAATAGCGGATCTCTGCAGACCTGCTGTCCCACGGCATCGACGTGTTTGATGAGGACTCAGAGGACCGACTGGTGAACAAGAAGTTCCAGGAGATGATACCATTTTCTTTGGTGGGCAGTAACCATGAGTACCAAGTCAATGGCAAGAGGATCCTTGGGAGGAAGACCAAGTGGGGCACCATCGAAGTTGAGAACACCATGCACTGGGAGATGGCCTACCTGCGGGATCTCCTTATCAGGACGCACATGCAGAATATCAACGACGTCACCTGCAGCATCCACTTGGAAGCCTGCCTCGTGAAAGAACTCAATGAGGGCCACAACGCCATTGCCAACAGGGTCGAGGAGAAGGAGCCAGAAGCCCAGGAGATGTAGATGCCACCCATGCTCCTGGACCCTGCCCCCAAGTCTGTCCCTCCCCCCCAGGCCCGCCCACTTGCCCCATCTTATTTTATACAACTTTCTCCATTTGTCATTGTTCTCCACCCCTTCCCACGCAGCCAGGTAACAAGAGAAGATGCGCCCTCCAAAAAAAAAAAAAAAAAAAAAAAGCCTGTAGGGATCAAAATATCTGATTTAAATATCCTAAAAGCTATAGCAACCAAAACAGCATGAAATTGGCATAAAAATAACACATAGACCAATGGAACCAAATAGAGAAACCAGAAATTAATCCATATACTTACAGCCAACTGATCTGACAAAGGCACCAAGAACATACATTGGAGAAAAGACAGTCTCTTCAACAAATGGTGCTGGCAAAACTGAATATCCACCCAACCTTCTTACTCTACACACACACAAAAATGGATCCTCAAAATTGGAACAATTTTGTGCAGCCATGGTGGGCTGCACATGTAATCTCAACTGCATTTGAGGCTACAAAAAATGGGATTTTAGCAAAATCCCATCGCAATCAATAAGCCAAGCATGGTAGTACATGCCTGTGATCCCAGCTGTGTGGAATGTTATAAGTAGGAGGATCAAGGTCTGAGGCCAGCCTCAGGCAAAATCAAGAGACCCTACCTGAAAAATAACTAAAACAAAAAATGGATGGGGGTGTGGCTCTAGTGGTAGAGTGCCTGCCTAGCAAGTGCGAGGATCTGAGTTCAAACCTCAGGGCTGCCAAAAAAAAAAAAAAAAAAAAGGAACAAAAGACTAGGTGTAAGATCTGAAACTATGAAATAAAAAAAGAAACACTTCCAAGGCATTGTAGGCAAAGTATTTTTTATAAGTCTTCAATAGCACAGGAGCAAAATTAAAAATGGATGAATTATACCAAAGAAGCTTCACCAAAACAAAGTAAATCAACAGTGAAAAGACAACCTACAAAATGGTAGAAAATACTTGAAAACTAGTCATCAATATGAGATTAATATCCAGAATATATAAGAAACTCAAAAACAACAATGCAATTTAAAAATGGGCTAAGAGGATCTGGTTAAAAAGTATATAAAACAATGCTCAATGCCAACTTAGGGATCAGTGAAATGCAAATTAAAACCATAACAAGATATCACCTTACCCAGTTAGAATGGATATATCAAAAAGACAAAATAAATGTTGGTGAGTATGCAGAGAAAGAGGATATCTGAAGCACTGTTGGTAGAAATGCAAATTAGTACAGCCACCATGGAAACCACTATGGAGAATCTTTCAAGTGGAAATAGAACAATCATATAATCCAGCAACCCCACTACTGAATATATAGAGCCAAAAGAAAGTTTATATCAAAGAGATTCCTGCACTTCTATAGTTTTGTTTGTTTGCTTTAGTTGTTTTGAGCCAGTCTCACTGTATAGCCCAGACTGACCTCAAACTTCCCTTCCCCCTTCCTCCTGTCTCCTGAGTGATGGGAATGTAAGTGTACGCCACAACACCCAGTTATTCCCATATTTATTGCTGTACTACTCTCAGTGCTTAAGGTATGGAATTCGTCAATAAATGAATGGATAAAGACAATGAGGAATACATACACTATGGAATATATTCAGCTATAAAAGGAATGAAATCCTGTCACTAGCAGCAACATGGACGAAATAAGCCAGACACAGAAAGACAAATACAAATTCAAAGAGAGCTTCACACTAACTGAAGCTTTAAAGATTCAGGAAAGACTATGCTGAGGTCCAAGCTCTCCATGAATACACATTTAACTTTACTTCTTTTCAAATACCGGTTTTGTTTTTCCACTTCATGTGCGTAGCTCTGCCCGTTAAACCGGCCACTGTAGGCTGTCTGATTTGGAGCAGCCTTAAGGAGTTTATTCAAATTACAGGTCTCAGTAATCCTGGTATAGGCTAACTTGGAATGAAAACCTGCCAAAGCATTTCCTGGGGATTCAATCAATTCTCCTTCGCCTGATGTTGGATTAGTAGTCTTACGAACTATCAGTCTCTCCTAGAGTTCTAGGAATTCTTACCAAGTTCAATGATGTTCTCTTAAAGTTATCAAAAGCCTACTTGTCAGTATTCTTTTGTGAGCTTTTGTAAAGGCAAAACACTTTAGGTCAGAGTAAACAGTAAGCCATCATGAAACAAGACTCAAAATGACCATGACTAATGATCTGTTAAGATTTCATTACAATAATGATGCAGTTGACAAGGAAACTTGACAATCTCTATTGAATACAACATTAAAACAATTACTAGAACTGTAACCAAAGACATAATACTACAACTATTAGGCTTCTGTGAATTCCATACAAATTTGACTCCATTCGTACATGCATACAAACACAATTCACTGGATATCCAGTGTCACTTTTTGACAGTGCTTTCTTTACAATTTAATGCATAAAATAGGCCTAATTAAGTATCTCCTTCTTTCAGATGCTCTGGAATATTCCAAAGTTAGTTCCAGGTCAAACAAATAAAGTTAGAATTTCATTTTAAGAAATTTGTCAGAAGTAATATTTCAAAATGCTGGTCAAAATAAGAAAATAAAAAAACATTATTTCCTTTCTAACTTTAACTATCTTAACAAGACTCCTTTCACATGATTTAGCTTTCACAAGTTTTCTACAGCCTTCTTATGTTCTTCTAGTTGTTTGCCCTGTCCTTGTTTCTCTCTCATTCCTAATAACCAGTCATTCCACTTTAGGTAAAAAAAAAAAGTTTACACATCTTTCATACTTTATTTCAAAAACATGTCTCACTTTCCTTTCATAAGTAGCTGATATTTTTAGTTTAGTGACAATTATGAGACCAGAACTATTTTTGGTACTATAGTCAATAAAACAAGCAGTACACACAAGGAATCCACCACAAGCATCCATCTCTGAAAATACTAGTGAGTGGATGATTCTTTTTCTTCATAGTGCTTGACATTACCAGATCTGGGTCACTGGGTCAGGGACCAGAAGGTTCTTGGCCTCATCTGAGAAAGAATTCAAGGCTGGATTCAGAGGAGACTTAAGCAGAAGTAAGTTTATTAATTCAAAGTAAAAGTACACTGTCAAGTGGGGTGAGTGAAGAGACTTAAGAAGGAGAGCTTTTATTGGTGTCTGTGGACAGTCTTGAAAAAAATGAGTTATGTGTCATTAACTCCTGGAGACTGAGTTATGAATTATTCACTTCTCCCACATGTTGGGAGGGGGAGTTTGGGGCCTTGGACGGTCAGACTGAGACTGTCATTTTCCACAGGCTACAGGGTCTGTGGCCCAGCAAAGACCTTGTTATATGTCACAGTCATTCTGTTTATGTCAGGGGGTAAAATTTTTATCAACACATAAGCCAACATTCTCAACCATCAGGTTTCCTGACTTCTTGCCTAACGTCTATGTCATTCCCCCTTCAAGCAATGTGAATCCTTATATCCTTATGTAGGAGGAAAGCTGTATCTTGCTTCTTCCAAAACTATTTGCTACGAAACAGGGGCTCTGGTCATACTTAGGGTCAAGTTTCTCCTCGATGTCTATTAGGGCAATGGTTGAGATTGAGTGGTGGAATAGAATGAAGGGATGGCCTGATCTAGAGGTCTACTTATTGATCACACTCATCTTGCAGTATTGGCTGGAAGTGCTGCTGTACCATTATTCGCTTTTGAAGCATAATAGTTGGATTTGCCATGGGTTGCAATTGTAGTGGTATCTCATTGCAAGAAGAGTTTCCCTTCCACTATGACTGGCAACAGCAATGATCAATGGGCACAGACACAAGAATTTATAGTTGTTTTATTGGCACATCATACTCATTTTACAAAAACAGTGGCAATGACTTTCCCAATGGGGCCTATGACTTTCTCAGCCACAGGCTTCTGCCCTGGTTTACTTACTAAATGTGAGTCCCCCTATAAAACAGGCCTAAGATCCAATCAGAATGTGGTTAGTTACACCTGTACTAGTCCTGGCACAACTTCACTGACAGATATACCCTACAGGACATGATGAGAATGTAACACTTGGGGCCCATTGTTGAGCAGAACTGTTGAGACAGTTCTCCCCAGGCAGCCTGCATATACTACCCTCCAGCACTGTGAACACTGGCAAGCTAGAGGAAGCTTCCAGTTCTATCCTAGCTTGACTTCTCTGTATCTTGAAAATAGAGTATGTGGTGTCTTCAGCAATAGGGACTTCCTGCCCAGTTCTGGTGTGTAACCAACCGCAGTGGTAATAGCCACATAGTTGGGGTATGGAGAGGTTGGGGCCTCCCCAGTCAACAACACATAGGGAGAGAGCCCATCCCTGGCACTGGGGTTTCCATTTAACAACCTTATGGCTTTTGAAAGCACTTTCCCACTCACACAGGGTGCCTTCATTTAAACTCTTTAACTGTAGTTGAAGTACTATTTCTGTAGTCAATTTTTGATAGTGGTCATATTTTTTTATATTCCCTTGGCAGTCTATGCTGTTTAACAATGCTCTCTTTTCTTTATGTCTCTTCATCTACTTCTTAGTGGTTCCTTTTTACCTAGTTTTTTTGACCCAAACTAAATTTATGACAGAAACAAATCAAGATCACCTGCCACACATAGCTTGCAAGTCTTGTGCAGACTTTATTGCTGCCTGGAATTTTTTCCCCTCTTCCATCAACTTTATTTTATGAATTAACAACTCACACATCAGTTTGGAAATAAGATCTGGTTGGCATCACCCAGGAGCAGGTTACAGCACTTAATAAGGGAATGCTCTGTTTCAGATGACTTTTTGGGTTTCACATTTAAGTAGATATCATATACATGAGACTATTCTGTAATCGTACAACTACATCAGTTACTTCTGATTTCATAAAAAATGTGTGTTAATGATGAAATATATACATGTTCTTCAGACCCCTAGTTAGAAGGCAGAATTTCTATACTTAATCTTTGCCAAAAGGCCTAGAAGTGATAGAAAGCAGAATTTCTACAAATATGTAGGTGAGTGGCTTAATTCC